TAAAAAAAAAGAGTTTGCTTTTGGTTTGTGTCTTTTTCTTTGTTTGTTTGTTTTGTTTCTTAAGTTCCACATATGAGTGAAATCATATGGTATTTGTCTTCTCTGATGTATTTCACTCAGCATTATGCTCTCTAGCTCAATCTATGTTGTTGCAAATGGCAAGATTTCATTCGTTTTCATGACTGAATAATATTCCTTTGTATATGCCCCACATCTTCTTTGGATACTTGGGCTCCTTCCATAATTTGGCTATTGTAAATAATGCTGCAATAAACATGGGGGTTCATATGTTCTTTCAAATTAGTGTTTTTATATTCTTTGGGTAAATACCAAGTAGTGTGATTACTGGATCATGGGGTAGTTCTATTTTTAATTTTTTGAGGAACCTCCATACTGTTTTCCACAGTGGCTGCATCAGTTTGCGTTCCCACCAACAGTACATGAGGGTTCCTTTTCCTCCACATCCTCACCAACACTTGTTGTTTTTTCTGTTTTTGATTGTAGCCATTCTGACAGGTGTGAGGTGATATCTCATTATGGTTTTGATTTGCATTTCCCTGATGATGAGTGATGTTGAGCCTCTTTTCATATGTCTGTTGGCCATCTGAATGTCTTCTTTGGAGAAATGTCTGTTCATGTCTTCTGCCCATATTTTTAAATTGGATTATTTGGGGGCAGGTGTTGAATTATAGAAGTTCTTTATACATTTTGGATACTAACCTTTTATCCATTATATCATTTGCAAATATCTTCTCCTATTCAGTAGGTTGTCTTTTAGTTTTGTTGATTCCTTTGCTGTGCAGAAGATTTTTTTTGGATGTAGTCCCAATAACTTATTTTTGCTCTTATTTCCCTTACCTCAAGCAACATATCTAGAAATGTCAGTGTCAGAGAAATTCCTGCCTCTTCTAGGATATTAATGGTTTCTGGTCTCACATTTATGTCTTTAATCCATTTCGAGTTTATCTTTGTGTGTGGTGTAAGCCAGTGGTCCAGTTTCATTCTTTTGCATGTAGCTGACCAGTTTTCCCAACATCGTTTGTTGAAGAGACTGTCTTTTTTCCCATGGCACGTTCTTGCCTCTTTGGTTGAAGATTAACTGATCATATAATTGTGGGTTTTTTTCTAGGCTTTCTCTCCTGTTCCATTGATTTATATGTCTGTTTTTGTGTCAGTACCATACTGTTTCAATTACTACATCTTTGTAGTATAACTTGAAGTGTGAAATTGTGATGCCTCCAGTTTTGTTTTTCTTTTTCAAGGTTGTTTTGGCTATTCTGGGTCTTTAGTGGTTCCATACAAATTTTAATATTATTTATTCTAGTTCTGTGATGAATGCTCTTGGTATTTTGTTATCAATTGCATTAAATCTGTAGATTACTTTGGGTAGTATGGACATTTTAACAATATTTGTTCTTCCAATCCATGAGCATGGAGTATCTTTTCATTTGTTTGTATCATATTTAATTTCTTTCATCAATATTTTATAGTTTTCAGAGTACAGGTTTTGTACCTCCTTGGTTAAGCTTATTTCTAGGTATTTTATTATTTTTGGTGCAATTGTAAATGGGATTGCTTTCTTTTTTTTTTTAAAGATTTTATTTATTTATTTGACAGAGAGAGATAGCGAGAGCAGGAACACAAGCAGGGGGAGTGGGAGAGGGAGAAGCAGGCTTC